TATGATATATAAGCAAATTTCATCCTACCAGGAATCTGACCCTTCTTTGTATTTGTATTTGTTTTTCTCTTCATTTTTAGAGTTAAAGTGTTCTTCTTTAAGATTAATAGAGAATGGTTATTTTCACCCTGTAAAGCAAACCTATGAAGAAGGAGATGTAGTTCAATTTTTCTGTCATGATAATTATTATTTAAGTGGATCTGACTTAATTCAGTGCTACAGTTTTGGTTGGTACCCAGAATCTCCTGTTTGTGAAGGTAAATATTTAAATTTTGCACTCATAAGTAAAATGTCATGTCTTTATCACTTTTAATTTCTATGAGCTCTTCAGAAAAACATCTGTAGAGAGGTCTAATTCTTATCTTGAGTACTATTTTTAAAATAAATATTATCTTTTAAACCAGCACTATTTTTAACAATCTTTAATATATTTCATCTGAAGAAATCTTAAGTTTTGTTATTGGTTTATAGAGTAGAAGTGTCTTTTAAATGTATTATTTAAAAATATTATAAAATTTAAATCTTTTATGTAATGGCTTACATTTTTGGTAATCACTAGACTCCGTCACCCCAGCTTGGCAGCTTTATGAGAATATTTTCTTAATTGATCTGATAGTACCTGATGTGAAGATCCAATCTTCAAAATAGTAGAGTAGAGAGCAAAAAAAGCAGACAAATACTATCCAAAAGTGAACGCGAAAAATGAGATCATCTAGTAAGAGCTACCCAATGGTGAATGGTGATGGTTATGTGTCTATCAATGGATTGTTCAAGCAGGTGGTATGATTGCCTGTTAGAAGACCCCAATTGTACAGTCATTTAAACACACCCACAATGTACTAGAAAGGTGCTTGTCTACCCAAAGAAACAGATATAAGAAAACTTGCTATTGTGTGATGAATAATAGAGTAGGATCAAGTACCAAGTGTTTGACTAAACAGTAGGGATTCTGACTGGTATGGTGTGGAATGACGTTCATCCATACTGTGCATCAGTAATATTTAATTAGTATTAGAAGATAAATAATTGAGTTTGAGAATTGGGGGGAATGGGGAGAGACCAAAGGTTTCACAGTCACTACTTTCTCTCTAACATGGGGAAATAATACCATTATTTATGAGCAGATGAAAGATTTAATAATAGAACTTGGAAGACAGTGGTGAAGATTTGGTAAAAGGAATGACAGTGGGAGGAATGGCCTGGACCTCTCTTCATTCTCTAATTGTGTCGAACAACTTCTTTAATGGGTTTGTGATTTTTCCGATTGTGCTCGACAGCCTTGATATAACAGCCAAGAGAAGTATTGTTAGCAAATTTTCTGCAGCATGTTATTTCAGAACTAAAGAGCAGACTTACTTAATGCTCATTCACATTCATCCCTCCTCCAAATTAGTGAGCTGGCTAAATGCCTGCTATTTTCTCTAGTACAGTCATTAGAGGTAGGCTAGGCAGTAATGTTAATGTCTGTCCCACTCTGTATGAAAGATATCCATGTCCTAGTCCCCAGAATCAGTGAAGGTTAGTTTCTATGGCAAATGAAATTTATAGCTAAGGATATTTAAAAAAAAAAAATTGCTATAGAACACGTGCACTCACTGGAGAGAAAGTGACAGAGAAAGGGAAAGTGAGAAATCATTCTCTGGGGGGGATAACCATGGCACAATCCCTTCTTCTCAATTCTCTTCTTAGGATTTGAGCACTTGTTCATGTGCCCGACATGTTTTTCAAGCTGCTGGGTCTGGGACTCTAACCGTGCAGGCGGCCATGTGGGATCCAGCCGCCCCCACCACTACTCCACCAGCTGGTCCAGTTTAGGGGTCTTGAAGTGGGAGTATTATCTGTGATTATGTTAGGGATCTTGAAGTGGGAGTATTATCTGTGATTATGCATTTGGGTCCTAGATGTTATCACAAGTGTCCTTACAAAAGGAAGCCAGGGGCTGATAGCCTACAGAGAAGGAAGCAGGGGTGTGACGATGGAAGCAGTGGGGTGAAGTGGTATCAAGAAGGGGTCATGAGCCAAGGGCTGCAGGGCCCCAGAAACTAGGAAAAGTAAAGAAGCCAATTCTCCTCTAAACCCTTCAGAAGGAAAGCTGGCCTTCTGCCACCCCGATGTTAGCCCGATGAAACTGATTCTGGACTTTGGGGCTCCTGAACTGTAAAAGAATAACTTTGTTTGGTTTTAAACTACTAAATTGTCTTTATCAGAGCATCAGTCAGAAGCTAATATAGTGAATATTTTAGAATAGTTAAGAGCAGGACATTTTAATTCAGGTAGTATGGGCTCATGAATGGATTGCTACTTACTACTACTCTACTTCATAAATTTTAGCTTCTTCATAATATGGAAGAAATAATTATTTCTACTTAAGTTATTTTAGGTCCAATGGAGATGATGAATGCAAGATGCTTGCTGTCTAGTATTCTGCTGGTGCATTTTAACGTCACCATACTCTCAGCAACAGAGCACAACAGGACTGTATCATTTTACAGTTTTTGTCATCAGGAGTCTGGCTTAATATAGTTGTCCTGGCTCCTCTGTGGGGATGTCTAATGCAGGTGTAATCAAGGTGTGAGCTGAGGCTACCGTCCCATCTGAGGCTTGACTGGACATCAGTCTTGTTCCAATTTTGCTATGGTTGTTGGCAGCACTTAGTGCTTACAGGCTGCTGAAATTAGGGCCTCTGCGTCTTACTGCCTGTGACCTCTGTCTTTGGCCTGTGGCCCTCCCATTTGGAAGGTCACAGTGTGGCAGGTTGCTTCTTCACCATCTGCAGGGGGCGCGG